TGCTCTCTCAGCCAGGTAGTGGATTCATTTCTAGTTGTAACCAGGTATCAGTGTAGGAAAACCAGTCAGGCTGACCACCTTTCCCAGTGACTCTGTGCCATACCTTAGACCCTAAGTTGCTCTCTAGAGTTCCTTCAGATGGCCATCCCACCCGAAAAGAGGGCCATTCCTGCTCAGAAAGACTTTTTAACTTTCCCAGGGCCATAGTAACTCATAGTCACCTACAAATTCTTTCTTAACGTATTTCAACATGGTAGTCTGTGGGGTGGGCTTTCCTTGCTTATTTCCCATCTCTAACAAGGGTCTCCCAAGACAAAATGCACACTCACACCACAAGGGTATGGGGGTAGGTAATATGGAGAGGTCATTCAGTAGCTTCACTCTTTACCATCTGTTCCAGTCTCGGGGATAGCAGACCCTCTTGGCTTAGGCAGGCCGGTACAGTGTGCCAGTATGGACTGCTTCTTAGCAGTACCAGTCGTCCTATGGGAGCAGAAGCAGGGTTCGGAGCCAACACTCAACACTTTAACACTTACTTAAGGGGAAGTAAGAACTCTACCCTTGATGTCAGTCACCCCACACTCTCTCTTTCATACACCTCCCACCAGTCCTGTGGGTGACCTGGCAACCAGGGGCCCCACTTCTACTCAAACACAGTGGACCTAGAAAAGTCCAACCAGGCCTACCTTACTCTGGATGTCCTGGTGCCACCTGCTGCCAGTTCCTCCCTGGTGCAGAGGTGCAGCGGGGACCTGCCGCAGGTGCCTGGTCAGTTCAGTCCCCATAAGGTGTTTCTCTGGAAGAATCGGTACTGGGAGTGCTCTGAGGAGCACGTCACCAAACCAACCAGAGTACCCTGTAGGGGTGGTCCGCAGGGCAGCGGAGCCCGACCCGAAGAGTCCCACTGTGTGGTCCACCATCATGCCTTGCTTCACCGACAGGGAACCAAGAAAATGTAGCAGGCACTGATGCAGACCAGAGGGCTCTCCGGCACCATTTGGAAGAAGAGGTGGCTTTTATTCTGCCTGCAGAGACTTGGCTGACCAGCATCTCAAGAACTGACCCTCCTGATCTAATTTCTAGCCTTCCTTCAGTCTTTGGGCTTGTGTGCATGAGACAATCTGTGTATCAGAGAGGATCAGGCTGGCACCTGCCCTTAGAGCATGGTTGCCTATTCTCAAAGACAATAAAAGGTCTAGGAAGTTAATAGGTTATAATATACATCTAAAGGGCATATAGACAAAAGGGGGCTGCTGCAGTGGGGCCTGTAATTAGTTACTTTGTACTTCTCTTTAGATTATCACAGGCTGCCTTGCCAATGCCTGGGCAGAGTTGCTAGGGGCAAAATCCCCTGCCTCAAATAGGTAAACATTTTGTAAATATTTTCTCTCAGTTCTATTCTTTCATTTTCTTAATGGTGTCTTTTGAAAAGCGAACATTTTTAGTTTTGATAAACTCAACAAATTATTCATTTTTTCTTTAATCAATTATATTTTTTATGTCTAATTAAAAAAATCTTTGCTTAGCTCAATGTGACAGATTTTTTATTTATTTATTTTTATTTATTTATTTTAGAGGCAGAGTGTCACTTTGTTGCCTTTGGTAGAGTGCTATGACATTACAGCTCACAGCAACCTCCAGCTCTTGGGCATAGGCGATTCTCTTGCCTCAGCCTCCTGAGTAGCTGGGACTACAAGTGCCGCCACAATGCCTGGCTCTTTTTTGTTGCATTTTGGCCAGGGCTGGGTTTGAATCCTCCATCCTTGGTATATGGGGCTGGTGCCTTACTCACTGAGCCACAGGTGCCACCCTGTGACAGATTTTTTAAAGAAATGTTTTCTTTGAGAGTTTTATAAGTTTAACACTTACATTTAGGCCTATAATCCATTTTGACTTCATTTTTGTATATGTTTTAGAGTTAGTTCCAAGGTCATCATTTTGCATGTTTATGTTTAGTTGGTTAGTATATTTGTTGAAAGGACTATCTTTCTATTAAGGTACCTTGACACTTTTGTCAGGAATTAATTGAGCAGGCCAGGCACAGTAGCTCATGCCTATAATCCCAGCACTTTGGGAGGTTGAGGCAAGACGATCACTCGAGGCCAGGAGTTTGAGTCTACAGTGAGCTGTGATTGCACCATAGCTCTCTAGCCTGGTCCACAGAGTGAGACCCCATTTCTTAAATGAAGAGACACCATTGATCATATATATGAGTTTATTTAAGTAATTATTTCTTGACTCTGTTCTGTTCCATTGAAGTTCAGGTGGGCACACACATACACACTATGTGAGTGAAGTACAGTCATTAGCCACATAACGATGTCTTAGTCAATGACGGACCATATATGATGATGGTTCCTTAACGATTATAATGAAGTTGCTCTATATAGAGCAATGCTCTATACACCATTTTTTATCTTTTATACTGTATTTTTACTGTATCTTTTCTATGTTTGGACTTGTTTGGGTACACAGATATCTACCATCATGTTATAATTGCCAACAGTACTCAGTACAGTAGCATCTTGTACAGGTTTGTAACTGACAAGCAGTAGCCTTACCTACCATCAGGCCTCCATTCATCTGCAATTTAAAATGTTTTTGAAAATTTCAATGTATTTTGAATTGCATACAAACTTTATGGACACCCTGTATATTATATATTATAATGTACACTTGGCCCTCTTTATTCATAAATTCCATATCCGTGGATTCAACCAACCACAGATCAGAAATTCAGAAGAAAAAAAATTGAGTCTGTACTGAGCATATATACAAACTTTTTTTACTTGTCCTTCCCTAAATAAAGTACAACTACTATTCACATAGCATTTACGTAGTATTAGATGCTATAAGCAATTTAGATATGATTCAAAGTATGTGGGAAGGTATGTATAGTTTATAAGCAAATAATTCACCATTTTATATTAGAGACTTGAGAATCTGTGGGTATTAATATCTTACAGATGTCATTTTGGAACAGATACGATTTTGGAACTGATCCCCCACAGATACTGAAGTACTAGTCTATGTATTTTATTTACTTTTGTCCTTACAACAGTTTTCCACTGTTTCAATTACAGTAGTTTTATACTAAGTTTAAAAATCAGGTAATGTAAATCTCCCAACTTCTTTATTTAAATGGTTTTGACTATTCTATGTCCTTTGCACTTCCACATAAATGTTAGGATCAGCTTGTTAATTTCTTTTTTTAAAGCCCCCAGGGATTTTGATAGAGATTGGATTAAATAAAATATATCAATCAATTTAGGGAGAAGTCACATCGTACAATATTGAGTCTTCCTATTCATGAAGTTAATATCTGATTTATTTAGTTCTTCTGTAATTTTTCTCAACAGTTTTGTATTTTTCAGTATACTGATTTTGAACTTCTTTTAAAAATTTATCTCTAAATTAATCTTTCTGATACTATTCTAGGTGGAATTTTTAAATTTTCATTTCAGATTGCCACTAGCATATATGAGGTCTGACAGTGTAATTCATATGTAGCACTTCCTTCTAGAGGGAAGTGCTACATATCTCATAGCGCCGTATCACTATGGTCGCCTCCAAAGTGCTCCCCTTGGGTGCACCAATGCCAGCACCTAGTCCAGCCTTCAAAGGAATTTTGGAACTCTTTTTCTGTAACGATCATAAGAGCTCTCATTGTGTAAGATCTGACAGTTAAGTTTCTGAACTTGCCACTGTGTGCTTACATCGATTGGCAACACCATATAAATTTGATAAGTGTCTCACAGCTGTGTCCATGTCAAAGTGTGGCAGTGTCTTGCGTAGTGACATTCATTACTGTTCTTGTGTATTTTGGTGTCCCATACAATAACAGCTCTGATGGTCATTCTAGAAAAAGAATTCCAAAATTGCTTTGAAGGGTGAACTAGGTGCTGGGGTCGGTGCATAACTTCTTAAGGGGAGTACTTTAAAGGTGACCGTAGTAATATTCAGCAAGGAGGTATGTAACACTTTTTCTAGGATGAGTTCACAAACTTAAATTGTTAGACCTTGTATTAAAGTATGGTTGATTTTTTTTTTATATATATATATATTGGTCCTGTAACTTAGCTAAGCTTCTTTGCTGGTTCTAGTGGGCTCTGTTGTTGATTTATGAGGATTTTCTACTTTAAATATCCGATAGAATCCTTGAAAATGATATCCCTCGAAGTCCATATTACTCTTACTTAAATGATGTTGCCAAAGCTTAAAATGTTTTTGAAACTCCTTTTTCAAAATTTGTTAGACAAATTACCAAGCACATAAAAAAATATATTTTTATTATTTATTAGTGAATATCTTGCTTTAATTCCTCTTTCTTCCATTTTATCTTAGTAGCTTAGGCCTGTACTGAGGATATGTTATTTTTTACATATAGACGTTAAAGAATAGAAGTTTAGGTAGTTCAATATCTAAATCTGAAGTCAAGGGAAAGGCTGTGGATGGAAGTTTTAGTTTGTGAGTTGTCAGGTTATATTTAAAGTCATGAGATCGAACATGATCACCTAAAGAGATTAACCAGAGATCCAACATCTCTCAGAAGAAAAATATATTAGGTCTGCAAAAGGTTTGGGAAGTATCTTGAGGCCAAGGATCTAAGGGGACCCTGAGGGACTCATGTTAAGAATACCACTGATTAAGCATTGAGTCATTTGGGAGCCACCTGCTGCGTGAAATGTTTTACCTTAATTTTTAGTTCCTTTGTTTTAAAGTGTATACATGTGTTTCACAAGAAATTGATCTTCATCAGGCCAGTGGTACCCTCACTACTTTTTCTTCTAAATCATTTGAACAATTACTAGTTGGCATTTATTTTTTTTTCTCCAGAGTACCATAATAATGATTTTTAATCATTAAACATTCTAGTCATTATTTTATGCTATTATTATATTATGCTAATATATCCAGTTTGGTATATAATTCTGATTCTGTTGTCTACATTGCAAATAACATTGACTTCATGAGAGTTATAACAAATATCTACTTTTCTTTCCTTCTTAGGCAAATACTGTGGTCTCGGGTTGCGAATGAACCATTCAATTGAATCAAAAAGCAATGAAATTACTGTGCTGTTCATGAGTGGAATCCATATCTCTGGACGAGGATTTTTGGCCTCATACTCAGTTATAGATAAACAAGGTAATTTTCCTCTTATGCAGTGGTTCCCACTTTTTGCAATTTCTAACAATAAAAATTAAATGGTTCTCTTAAGTACCTATTATCTGAAATTGAAATACAGCAGAAAGACTGAACAGTTAATGACACGTATGTAAATTTGACAAAATTAGAGCAGTTTCAGAATTCCAAAAATAAAGTGTATTCACTTTTATATAAAGTCTATATATTAATTATATTACTACTTCCTTGCTGATTTTTCACTTTTATAAAATTAGAACTGGAACTATAATACCTTTTTAAAAACTTAAGAATTAATGAAATGTATCATATCAATTTAAAGCTTTATTATCACAGTTTACCATTATATACTTCTGTGTTAAAGACCATATTACCATTCTTTGCAAAGAATAGTTTCATATCACTGGGAGTACCCTGGTTAGTGCTGAGATAGTACAAAATAAACAGGGGTTGTTTTCTGAATTGCTAATGTTTAGAGTTTGAAGGAGGGAAAAAAACCTAAAAGTAATGCTGTTAATTAGAATGAAATCAGAAATTTACCTGGATCTCCAAGGTAAAGTGTAAGACCTGGATGAAATCCCTCACATACTTTGGCTGCTATCGCCTGCGTTTTTCTGACCTCTGCTATTTGGAATACTATGCTAAGAAAGTTTAAGAAGTGTAGCTATTATAGGAATATATCAAAACAGTCATTTACATTAGAAAATAGGTAATTATTTTAATATTCAATCATGAATTAACTAAGATGACCATTTAAAATTGAAAGTTGGCTTTTATTTTGTATTATATAAATGAGAAAATTACCAAGAATTTTCTGCGCATGAGGATCTTGGGCACTGAGAATGAAAACCAAGCTGTTCCTCTCCAGCTGTGGGAGGTTTGAGGCAAACACTATGGTAAAAGTTTCACACAGAAGGCGATGTAAGAACTGTTCTGTGTAAAGAGGAATCTGCTTTCACTTATTAGTTTATAAGCTATAGAACAAGGTAGGAAGGGTAACAAAATTCCTTGGAATGAGAAAGTAAACTTACCTGGATGGAATAATGGAAAGAAAAGAACTGGAAACATTATGCTAAATGAGCAATTAGTGTCTTTGACAGAGCTGGGAAAACTAAGTCAGTGTGATGTTGTGGCAAGTACACTAGGGAATGCTGGAGTCAAATCTGTCTCAGCTGCATGCTAGCTGGGTGACGGCCGGCCAGTCAGCTTCACCTCCCTGAGCTGTGTATGCGAGTGAGCTGGTTGTGAGGACCAGATCGAGAAATCTTTGTGTGGTGCCTGTAGGCACATGGCATAGCAGACACACAGGAGGATGGTTTCCCCCTTCTGCCACTGTATATACATGCATATATTTCCCTACCACCAGAAGGATAATGTAAAAAACTCAGGTGAGGTGATGATGGATTACCGTTTTTTCAGTTTTGCTTCTTAAAAATCTTGGGCTGCTAGGTGAGAGGGTAGAAAATAATTAATTTGCTTCTTATTCTCCTTGAGTTTCTTACTATTAAAATAAAGTTAAATTTTTTATTTTGATTTTATATTTGCTCTTTTCTCTCTTCGTTCTTTATAGATTTGAAGGTTTCTGGAAAATATTCTCTCTTTTTAAAAAGGTTCTTATGTTCAGTATAAATTATGGGGCTTTTTGACCCATGGGAAACCTGAATGTCCTGCATTAAAGTTACTTAAGAATTGACAGTGATCTCGGGTAACAGAGACAGTGAGTTCTTAGAAACCTCTGTTCCACATTTCAAAAGGCTGTGTCACTATTTCAGATGATATCTGCCTTGATTAGGAACTTTTTGATAGAAACACTTTTCCAAGTCATAATCATCTTGAGAAATCTTCATTTCATGGCCATCTCCTAAAGTCTTACTTAATTTTGGCAGTTTTATTTGAACTAGAGTGAATTGGTTAAACTATATCCAGGAGAACACTGATGGCTGCTTACCTTTGGTAAAGCTCCTCAGTGTGTTCCATCCAGGAAAGTTAGCTGCCACAATGAATTCCGTGAGTATTTTCAGGGAACATTAAGGACATGTCGCAGCTTAGAAGTCTAGTTGAAAATATAGAGTATATGGGAATGAAGAGATTGTGAAAAATCTTGTTTCAACAGCTACTTCTTTTTTTAACACTCTCATGCAGATTTGTTAATGTTAAAGTACAAGTTATGATTAATAGAGTCATTTTTGAGGCTAACAGACTAATTTTTATTATCTTATCCAAGAGCCCATTGCAGAATTACACATAAATATGTAATGCTACTGACATTTTATTCTATAAAGTAGATTTAAAAACATAGCATTTACCATTGGACTTAAAAAGTAAAATGAGTGATGAGTGAACTAAATTCCTGTTTTTGAATCTGTATTCAGCGATGGTCAAGTTTCTAGGAAGAGCTCAGCATTTCTAGGATAATTCTGGATGATGATTTTTTTTAGTGTTCTAGTTACAGAATAATGAAATCAGAAGTAGTTCTAATTATAGAATAATGAAATCTACATTTGCATGAAAATTTCATGTCCTTCAAGGCAGCACTTGTCTGTGTGCATTGTAACTGGATGTGTACATGCGTGATTGGAAAGTGGTGATCCTGGTTTTCTTTTTGGAGAACACTAAATCACTTAAAAGGCAATGGTAAGCTTCATTACTTTTGATTTCACCAACTGAGAATTTTGTAAAGTTCAATCTAAAATTCACCTTCATTTTTTGGAGAAAAACAGTAAATAGTTAAAAATTTCATGTGACATAAAATGACCTGATGTATGATAGATTATTAGCATACTTTCTAATTAGAATTCATAAACACCTAACTCATTGCCTGATGCCCCTTGGAATCTAATGACAGTGTGCTTAAGACTTATGAAAAGCTGAGGCTGGAAAATATTCCTATTTGACAGGGTTATTTTTGCTATATGATGGATTATTTTCAAATTAACACCACTAGTATAATAATTTTCTGATTGCTACATTTTTTGACAAATTTTTGGCAAATATTTTCTATTTCTTCCATCTTATATCCAATTATACTAACTTATAAATGAAACATAGAGAATTCCTTCCTAATAGAGTCCAAATTTCTAAAACTGGTAATTTTTTTTCCTTCATGAAATGTTTTTTGATTTTGAAAATAAAAGTATGAATTTCTTAGTTTGCTGCCTGAATAGCTGTATGGTAATTTTATAAAATATCTTTTGTTTTGAGTAGTACACAAAGCTTCTAGATTAGCTAGATTAGCTAGATTTCTATTTGTACTATTTCTGTCGTGTTCTAAGTAATTGTTATTATACCTGGCAAACATTGAAAAATGTATGTACTATTAAACTAATCTTAGTAATATTTTATTGATCTTAGTAAGCATTTATTTTACATTGGTCTCTTTAGATATATCCTTATTTACACACAAATGTGAAGGAGTTTTGGTGTGAGGAACGCAAAGGCTTGACACAGAGACTGTGCCAGGTGACTGAGGAGCTCAGATAAGAATCCTCTCAAACCTGAGGTCCATCCATATATATTATCATAAAATGGGAAGAAGTAGATAAAAACTGTTTAGCAGACAGCAGCACTGATAAGGGAGGATGTGGGGAAGATTGTAACAGGGGTCCTCAAACTTTTTAAGGGGGGCCAGTTCACTGTCCCTCAGACTGTTGGAGGGCTGGACTGCGGGCCTGGGACGAGTCAGCTGCTAAGCAGGACAGGCAGCAGCGGCAAAAACACCCAGCAGACTGGATAAATGTCTTAGGCAGGCCATAGTTTGAGGACCCCCGATATAGAGTGATCTCCACCTTTGTTTTTACAAAATCTCTGACCTTGAGTACAGTCTTTGCCTCCACCGTCAAGAGACCTTTGGAAGCCACAGAATCTTTATTGCCACATCTCACGTGTACATTCTCTCTTGGAGGTCAGTTTGCCGTCCTCCTGCATGTACACAACTCACACGCCATTCTTGTGACTCAAAGCCGAAAGCAAGCCTGTGCTGAAGGTCAGGGAACAATTGTCCCTACACAAATGAATATGTGTAATGTTTGTGTGTATAATATAATTAACATACAGAAAAACATTTGTATTTGTGCCAGTTTGTCAAACAAAGGTGCTAATGAGCAAAGTGTTGCCAATTTTGTAGAGAAAGAGGATTTAAAACAGAATTAGTCTTTAGTCTGTGAAGATGGTGTTAACTGAAAGAGGCCAATTCAACTTCTAGGATAGCTTATTCTGAGCCGATATATGAACACTCTGAAGAGCACCTTAATGATTTTAGTGTTTTCTTTGACTTTCATTGTTTTAGTGCATCAGGAGTGCTGTGAAGGGACAACATGATGTGTTTGTGCTTTCTCGTGCTATACAATGGCTGTATCCTTCACCACTAATAAATACTAATGTGTCTGATGGTGTCCTAGATGCTGTGTAGATCACTATTTATTTTTTATTATATGTAAATTTAGTTATAGAAAACATTTGAATTGAGATAGTTAGCAATATGTAGCTTATAACCTATCTGACCACTTGGTTTGTTGCTTAGGCCACTGAGCCATGCCTGTATCACCCTTAAGAAGGCATTAATTATTTTCATTTGAGAAAATTTTCCCTGAACTTGGACTGTGGACTCTGTTTCCATACATGCCGTTGTAGTATTTCTTAGAAAAATATAAGATTTGTAAAAAGGGAGGAAAGACAAAATACTTAGTATAGTATTTGGTACTAAATAACTTAGTTAATTCTGAATCACAATAAATTATGTGATGCTATCTATGTAAATTTCTTTGAACAAAAATGCAGATGGCGGAAGTCAATACCAAATTCCTAGCATTGGAAATAAGGAATTAGTCCTAAGATTACACAGTAAAACAGTTGGGAAAAGTTAGCAGCAAGAACAGGCTTATCCTACAGCCAGCAGCACGGGAACAAAGTAGTTGTCCGCATACTTACAAGGCAAGGTTACTGACATGGTGTGAATTACAAAAGCAGGACTACTTGTTCCTAAAGGTTCTAGGAAATCGGGTACC